GACCAGGCAGGGTCCACAGGGCCGCCTCGGAGCTCTGCTGGGCTGGCGAGGTGTCCCCGGAACGGACTGGCTGAAGGTGGCCATCTCCCTCCGTTTATCTTCCCGAATTCCTTGGCCTGTTCTCTCTCGTGACTTCAGTTTTCTCTGTTTTTCTTTTGCAAATAAAAGGACACAATGCAATGAAGGTTTAAATATAAAAAACTAGACACTTCAGTTTTTTGCAAAGCAGGTAGTGTTTGTGTCCAACTGTTATTCAGAGCCTTCTGAAGACAGCACTGGGTTGTAGAAAGAACTGCTAGAAAAGGAAAAGAAGAATGGAGGGCCGAGGGAAGGAGAGAAGCTATGCCAGAGGCCTGGCTGGCCAGGAGTCAGCTGCTCACCAAGGCCAGCACTGTTTTTGTTTGTTTGTTTGTTTTTCAGTACCAGGGCTTGAACTCGGGTCCTTGTGCTTGCAGGGCAGGAGGGAGAACCACTGAGCTAAATCCCCGGCCCTTCAACACTTTTTTCTGAGCTCTGGGGAAGCAGCTGCTCCTGACAACAGCCTGGACAGCAGCTCCATCAGTACATCCGCAGTGAGGGGTGGCCAAGCCAGGCAGCCACTCCCCCCCCACTCTGGTTCCAGGTGATCACGCCCTACCCGAGCTAGGAAGCAGCAAGGCCTGGGTGAGGGCAGCAGGCTGAGCTGGCCTCACATCCCCGCTGTAGAGAACACATGCGCCTCCCCAAGGCACAGACGGGCCAGGGGACCAGCCGTGTCCTCAGAGCCTGCTCCTCCTCCCACGCTGCTGCACACACCTCATCCTCCAGTCCCAGGCGCAGGCTGCCAAGAAGGCTACGACCCCAGGAGGCTGTCTGCTCCTCTGGGCCTCACTCCTGCATGCAGAACCACAGGCAGCATGTCTGTCCCCGAGGGAAAAATGAGCTCAAACAGGGCTCCCAGCCCAGCCTGAGGGCGCAGGTCCTGCCCGTGTGGCCACATGTGAGTCTGGATGCCCCTGTGTGTGCTGCGGGTGGGGTGTGTGCAGGCACCAGTGTGTGCTAGTGCATCTGCCTGTGTGTGAGTGTGTGCAGGCTGTGTGTGTAAATTGTGAGTGTATACTGATGATGTGAGTCTGCTGGTGTGCATCGTGTGTTTCAGTGTTTGTGTTTAAGCGAACATGTTGTATGCAGAATGTCTGTAGTGTATCTGCTGCATGTCCATGAGTGTGCATACATGTTCCATGGGTGTGTGTTGGATGTGTGCAGGCCTGCTTATGAGAGTACGCTGGGTGTGAGTGTGGGTTCAGGTGTGCATCGGGGTCAGGGACAGAGATCCCTAATAACCAGGCTATGCTTTGAGTTGCGGTTGAATGGAGCCAACCTCTTTAAATGAAGAATTTCTTTTTTCGTTGACTCAAAGGCCCCAGACATCTAGCAGGAACTCTCCAGAAAAATTTACCTCTGGGCAGACATGGCCCAGCACCAGACAAGAAAGGTTTCAACCCCAAAGGATTTGGCAGAAAGTTGTGAGCGAGTGAATGAAGGAGTTGGGCGGCGAGGTGCGTGGATCTCAGTAAGGAGCCTGTCCGCGCCTCCTGACAGCGGGGACACTGGCTCTGCCTCCCTGGGGCTGCCCAGCTGGGCGCGTGTGCAGAACACACAGCATTGGCAGCTGCAGAATGGCATCCCCGGAAGACGCTGGGAGTTTAGGTTAAGTGACCTGCGTGGAACTAGCACAGGCTGCAGACTCTGCGGAAGAGCTCTGCTCTAACCCTAGCGCTGTCTGCTCCCTGGGGAACTCTGCCTGCGTGGAACCCCACTGCCCTGCCCGCAGAACATCGAGCACATGCGACAGCGCTTCTGTGCTGACGTTCACAGCAGGTTTCCGGTGTTCCGGAACGGAGGCCAAGACGCAGCGTGAACCGCAGAGGTGAGGCCATTTCCGGGTAACATTCGGCCACAACGCTTGCACCCCAGGTATGTGGGGAACCGTGGGAGCCCGCCACAGGCCGGCCCGAGCCAGCAGACTGACTCAGTCGCACTCTTCCGTTTGTGTGTGCCGTTCATTCCCCAAAGGAGCAAGGAGAAAGAGAAATGCTCCTGAGACCTCCGAGGACACGCGAGCTCCTCTGGCTGTGCTTTGTTAAGCAGTCTGGCGTTTCTTCTTTAAGTCGCGCCTTTATGTGTTCAGTAAACACAAAGGCAACCTCTGTTTGGGGCCAGGCACTGAGAAGAGCAAGAGGGGTAAGACGCAGAAGTCGCCCTGCATCACGACGACAATGGGCAACGGAAGCCCCTCTCCCACGCCGGCAGACTGTGGTCGGGGCTTCCTGCTTTCGTCTAATACCCAACAACTGGGGCCAATTTCATTCTTTAAAACCTCTGTTGCAAACACTGCCAGAAACTGCAGGTTATGGCTCAGAGGGAATCTGTGAAGAGCAGGCCCAGCGCCATCTCCGGGGAAGGGCAGCTGCGGCTGTCATTCCTAACTGCAAAGCGCGCCCTGTTTCCACGGGCAACAGGACCAGCCCGCGCCCGCCTTATCTCCTAGCACCCAGCACGTTGCCCGGCAGGCGAGGGACGCTGGGCAGCAAAGTCACAGCGCCTTTCTCACTACAGAGATGTCTGATACCGCAGCCAAAGGGGACAGCGAGAATCCGCGCACGCTGAGCCCTGCCTGACTGCCCCAAGCTCCTGTCGTGTTTCGAACGTGTCATTTCTCATCTGTGCCACTCGTGGCGCTGCCTGCACGGGAACTGTGCGGGGAGCGAGGTGAGCTCCGAATTTCAACAGGGGCAGTTTCGAGACCGGGCCCAGGCACCTCCTGAGATATTTATGTTTGGTAACTGAGGTGGAGATGATTATCACGCTCCATGAAAAACACGATCAAAGGGAAGGCGCCCTGAGGACTTTCCTCCCTTGGCACCCGACCGCCCCGCCGGTGTCTCTCCGTGGCCCACGCCAAGTGGCGCTGCTCACCTTGGTAGGTAGCGGCCGCCTTGCGAAATCTCCCGGGAAGGCGCGGCAGGGCGGTTTCAGGACCGACGGAGCAGGAAGTGACCCCTCAGCCTCCGCGTGCAGGCAGAGTTCCTGACCACGCGATAGCAGGGCCTGCCCCGCTTTGCACCGGGGACTGTCCCCACGCAGGGCTGCCCGGCAGACACTCCCCAAGCTGAGGTTTGGATGAGAGGCCCTGCAAAGGGGGCCTTAGGAGGTGGGGGGCATCGGGTCACTGGGCTGCGTGTGACCTGAAGGGTCAGCAGGACCCAGCCTCTTCCTCTGCTCTTGCTCCCCAGCTATGCAGCAAAGGGCTTGTTTCACACACACAGCCTGCCGTGAGGTGTGGCTGTCTTGCTGTAGGCCAAAAAGCCACAGGACCAACTGACCAAGACCAGAACTGTGAGGCAAATAAATCTTTCCTTTCCAGACGATTCTGCTGGTGTTTGTTAGAGGGCTGGAAGCTGACTGATACTAGAAAGCTGTGTGTTCCGTGGAGCAGCCAGTCTGGGTTTCCCAAGAGGGGGCCCAAAGAGTGCCCTTGCAGGGCCGTGGCAGCTCCGTGGGGTGCACGGTGCACCTCACAGGCTTCCGAAAGCCTTGAGCCACTGAAGGCTCTGAAGAGGTCTGCAGCAGAGAAGTTTGACTTGGCCCAGAATTTCCGAGTCCATCCAATTGTGTGGCTGGCGTAAGAACCCGCATTGGGTAAGGCTGTCCTGTGGGGACAGCTTCCTAATCTCACTTGAAAGTTTAATAATGCTTCCTTGTCAAGAAAATAGAAAACGCATACCTGAAAGGATTTGTTACCTGAACCATCTCCCCCAGTATAGCTCAAAAGGGCAAAACGGTGTCCCCATGTGACACGATTCCCTCCCTCCCATGTGCCAACCACAGTCCTGGTCACATCCGAGGTTCAGCAGCAGAGCACCATCTTCGGCACATCCCAAACTCTACCACCACCGCCTGCTTACTGGGGCTTAAAACCAGGGACCCAAAAGCAGTGGGGTCTGCTGGGGAAGATCTTTTGAGTGTCAAAAACCAGCTAGAAAGGCGTCGTTGATTTTAAGAGGCGAGAAGGGCAAAAATCTTTTCCCAAAATGCATCATTGTTAGCAAAACACTATAAGGTAGTTATTTCCTTTAAATCCTTTTGTAGGAGCTGGTGATAACTCAGGGCCTTCGCAGTACACAACAGTGTCAGGCTGTATTGTGCACGTGAGACTCGAGCTTTGCAACGTCCTGCCTCACCTCAGCTTCCCAAAGAGCTGGGGTTCCAGGGCGGCACCACGACACCTAATTTTAAACATTTTCACAATGGATAAAACCTAAGGTTAAACTGTTACAAGGAACCATTATCCAGAGTCAACAGATCCTAAAAATGTACGTTGGCTTCATCAACACATTGTCGGTCTATTTTCATGGGCTCCACACTCGCTAATTCTTCCACTCACTAATATTCATTCGTAACCCTCATCAGTGCCTGTGCTGTTTGTGGACATGTGACAAGCGAGGAAAAAAAAAGATTTAGTAGCCAGAGGAGCATGAACACAGCTGAGCCAGGTCACAGCTGCCTTCTTCCTTCAGCCCCTGGACTGCAAACACCTCTCCTGCCTGCAGAGGGCCCCGTTTCCACCTCTGTGTGCCTTTCTTCCAGGACTTTGCTGTCAAAACAGCCCACACATGGTGCTGAAGGGCACCTGCTGTCAGCACGGGGGCTGCGTGAGCCTGCAGAGAAAAATCTGTGTCAGGTAAATTCCCGGGCCCTGGGAGTGGCTCAGATGCAGAGCACATGCTCAGCATGGGGGGGCCCAGAGTTCGATCCCCAGCGCTGGAAAAACAGATGAACTTCATCCAGGCACGAGTTACAGTTGGGTACGGTGATATCCACCTGTCACCCCAGCTACTCAGAGGCCGAGGCAGCAGGATTGCTTTGAGTTTGAGGCCAGCCTGAGAGCTACATAGTGAGGCCCTGTCTCAAAAGGGCCAAAAAACTTTTTTAAAATAATCAAAAAATTGAACATCACTTGCTGCTCAGCAGCAGAGCACGTGTTGGGCAGTTAAGGACCCCCGGGTTCCATCCTCAAACTCCCCCCAAACCGCGATCATCAATCTGCGGGTCCTCCTTAGTCAGCAGCTTTCCTTTCCACAGGGTTAGTTACCCAAAGTGAACCACAGTCCAAAACTGTCAAGTAGAAAATTCCAGAAATAAACAGCGCATGAGTCTTAAATAAGTCCCGTGTTATAAATGTACAATATAACAGCACATCATTACCATTGTCCTACTTTATTAGGGTTTATCCTTGTTGATCTCTTACTGCGCCTGATTTGCAGCATGAACTTTACGGTGAATTTGAACGCACAAGAAAGAGCACAGCACTGGCCCTCAGGCATCGCCAGAACTTCTTGGAAGACGTCCCCAGAGGAGAGAGGGGCACTGACCAGCTGCTCTCAGGCAGCCTTGTGAGGCCGTGCACACCCATAGATGCTGGCTCACACTGTGACACACGCCCACCTCTCCAAGCAGCCGGCCCACGCTGACGAGACCCACATGGGGGTGACAGGAGCTCCTGTCCCCTGTGGATTCACCCAGAGCGGTGCTGGGCCCGGTCACAGGGCTCCCCCTGGCTGGGAAGAGAGCTTGCTGACCCACAGGGCCGTCTGGTCCACAGGACACAGCTCAGGGTTGGATGGGCCCTGAAACTCAGGCCCCATGGAGCCCGGCTGTCAGTGCTGGGGGCGGAAGTTCACATCTCTGCTGCCAGCTCCATGCACAGCTCCTGCCCCCCACACAGGCAAAACCTCTTCCAAAACACTGGTCTTGTGCAATTCTTAAAAAAATGCTTCTGGACTTAGCCTGTGAGTAGCAAGTTACGGCTGCTCAGGTGTGACTTGAAAGTGTATTTACTGAAAAATACACTACAAGAAAAATAATCAAAAAACCACTTACACTCCTACCCTACCCCAGGCAGTGTGCTTGTTACGTGACGTGAATTCTGCAGCTCAGAGAGATGTGTTCCTAGACCGAAATAGCATGCTTTTCCTTTGACCTGATGAAAAGATCCTTGGGCGATTTTGAAGCCTGCACCCAGGGTTTGCAAGGAGTGAAGTAATTGACAAGGGGCTTTTTGTGGCTGTGCAAACACACCAAGGGCTCGAGGAAAACAGACACAAAATCAGTCTCCTGGCTTCATCCGTGTGAGGAGGAGTGCTGCTCCCGGGAGAGATTTCCAGAAGCCCGGCCAAGGCCACCGGGGCCCCGACGCCTGGGTACGGGCTGAGCCCCTGTCCTTCTGCCCCCTGGAGGGAGCCCAGCCCTGCCACCTCTGTCCAAGACAGCAGGCCAGGAAGGGACAGGGACGGAGAAGGCTGGAGTCCTGCCACCCAGGATCAGAGTCCCAGGTGAGCTCTGGAGCTGGATGCCTCCACCGGGTCCTGGCTGTCCCTCCAGGGGCCACAGCGGGCAGCAACTTTCCTGTGGGACAGGGAGGAAGGTGGTGGCTGGGACTGGAAGCAGAAGCTCCCTGGGGTGAGGTCCTTGGGATCAGAAGCCCTTTCTGACCTGACTGTCCCCTGCCCCTGTCCCTGGAATCTGGGGGCAGCTGAGGGCTGCAACGTTAATGCGCTCAATCCAGCTTGTGTGTGTGATGGGATTCTTCAAAAGTGCCTTCCATTTCGCTGTCCTGAAAGGGAAAACAAGGCTAGACCAGCGTACAAGAGGGCCAGCCAGGAGGAGCTGCTGGTCAGGGTCCCTTAGCCCAGCGACCAGCTTCCTGTGTGCTGGGCTTGCTCCGGGCACTCAGAGTCCGGGACACATCCGCTTACCTTCCGAGCCCCCTCTGCTCAGAGGTCAGCAGAGAGCCCTGGTCTTCCCCGCAAGTTTCAAGTCTGTCCAGGTAAAAACCCTCCATTGAGAAAGTGCCTGCACTCGGTTTCCACACACACGTGACTGATGAGAACATACGTGCTCGCTGTGCTGTGGACCACGTAATGTCAGCTCGGGGCCTGGCGTGGGAAAGGCCCTGAGTTCCATCCGGGCCACAACCAAAATGAAACAGAGCCAGGGAGACAAGTCAAAGGTTAGTCTTCAGCAGAATTCCCTTCCCCACCCCAGAGGGAGGACAGAAAGCCTTGCTCTCCCTCACTCCCGAAGGGCTGGAGTTCTGCTGTCTGCGGGCTGCCACGTGGAAGCCCTCAGCGACGCTGCCTGCGGAGACCGACGGGGTGAGGAGCACCCAAAACAGACAGATTGCGCTGGGAGCCCACAAGGGCCCGCCAACAATGGACTGTGTGTTCTCCCGGGGCGGATCACACCCGCTCCCAGCTCATAAAGGCCCTTTATATAACTCCACTCAGGCGGGGCCTGGGCGGGGCAGCTGCAGGAGGTCCCACACCCGGGCCGGCACAGGCCTGGCAGCCCGTGGGCCGCCTCCCACACCCAGGGCTGTCCCCTCCGGGAGCCACCGCCTCCACCAGGGCACTTCCCCGGCAGCTCCCATCCAGATCTGGGATTCAGACTCCCGTGGGCCACAGGCCAAGGCAGGAGAAAGGGTGGCACCTCGTGATGGGAGTGGTCTGTCCAGGGGCCCCTTTTCCAGAGAACCATGGCCTCCTACTCTTGAGTGCTTTCCTGGCCACGAATGATGCAGGTCCGGATGCCAGCATCCTGACCGACTGCACACGCTGCAGTGAAATTCAGTGTCACCGGGAAAGCCTCCTGTGGAAGCTGGGCCGTCTGCACAGGGTAGAGCTCTGTGTGGGGGCGCAGGCCGGGCATGCACGAGACCCCGGGTTCCACCCCAGCACTGCGAAATGAAGCAAAGGAGAGGGGAGGAAGAGAGGAAGGAGGGAGGCGCTGGCTTCTCCCGGGAGAGATTAAGTCAGTCACACTCTGTCCTCCTCCCAGTGCTGGAGAACTGCCAGAGTCCCTCCACCTGGCAGCCCCCTGCGCTCCGTGGTCCTTCAGGCAGGCAGCAGGCTGTGCCCTACAGTGTCACACCTGGGGCACATCAGGGGACGGGGAGCACCAGGCTGGCCACAGGGGTGCCCGGCCAGGCCCACATGGGGCTCAGAAAGTTTGCGGCTCCCGTGGCCAGGCAAGGCCAGCCTGGCTCCCGTGGAAGGAGTGGCCTCTCCACCAGCCCGGCGTTGGGGGAGACAGCTCTGAACTTGGCCGTTGGTTCACTGGACCCCCACAGCCCCTGTGGACCCCCACGGAGTCTCTCGGAGGGAGAGCTGACCCCCAGGCCCTGCGCCTGAATCCAAGGCTGTGGGCTGACCAGAGAGCTCGGGCCCCACCGGCCCTGGCTCCTTCCTGGAAAGGCTTGGGGCCAATCCCTGCCCGGCCGCACCCTAGGCCACTTTGGTTGAGGAACCTTGACCTTGGGGGGATGGCGGCACCCCCCTTACACTCTGCCTCTGACCCCACAGGCTTCCCTGGCCCAGGGCAAGGACAGCCGCAGACTGCGTAACTCCAGCTGCTAAGGCAGACTCCAGAAGCTCAGCTGCCCTCCGCGCCGAGGCCGCAGTGCTGTGCAGAAGTGCACCTGGCTGCACACACTGAAGAGCAACCGGCACCGAAACACAGCGTGCTGAGGGCTGACCTCCACTCAGGAGCGAAGAGAGCGAACAAACCCCCATGTCAGTTGGCAGAGCCTGGGCCACCTACACGTTCCGAACCTCTCGGGGCCTCAGTGTCTCTCGGTGTATATTTGGAATTAAAGATGGGCGAGACCAAAATATGAAACAAGGGAGCCCACCCTAGAGAAACAACCACCACTGCAGACCCCAGCGGGCTACTGTGACGTACACCGGCTTCTCTTCCTAGCGAGCCAGAATCATTCTGAGAGACCAGCGATGAAGCCCACCCGGCATACACCGCTCTGAACCCGGGAAGCGGGCAGGCTCGTCCTGCAAGTACTTAGTCCCAACGCTCACGTATTTTACCCAGCCAACTGCTCATTTTGCTGCGTGAACTTGCCTGTCCAACCGGAGAGTGCGCTTCTCTGTCCTCAGCAGGAGATGGCGACAGAGCTCCACCCCAGTCCCTGAAGACTGGCTAAAAAGCAGGAACGGGGAAAAAGCGAAAAGGAAGGGAAAGGAGGAGTGGAGGGATCAGAAATGACTTCTGTCAACAAACTCTTAGGAAGGGAGAAATAAAACCACTGGTTTCAGTCTTTAGAACTGAGCTCTCATTCTAGCCCATTGAGAAGCACAAGAGGACAAAATGCAGAAAAACCCCTGACATCCAAATTTGCAACAAATAAGTGGGAGATACAGAATCTATTCCTAATCTTAAGCCCAGATAAAACACCACTGACTTGTTAGCCGTCTACCGTGAGCCGTGAGTTGTTCTTAGGGTTTCTCTGCAGACCCTGGGCAAGCAAACCTCTCAGCAATGCCCCCACTTCTGTGCTCAGAGCTCTGTCTTCTGTTTAAAAGGAGCGTCCAGGAACAGGGTCTCCTGGTCCCCGGCCCCAGCTGAGTAGAGCCGGTGCTCATGAAAATTCCTCTCCCACTGGGGAAGCCACAGCCACTTGCCCCAGCTCTCTCTTACACACACACACACACACACACACACACACACACACACACACACACACACACACGGGAAAACCGGAAGAGCAGCCTCAGCAGCAACCACCCCCTGCTGCTGCCTCCGCACCTCCCACCTGAGCAGCCAGGTGATAAGGCTCCTGCCAACCCGGAAGCCTATACTCCCTGCAGCTCCTGCCCTCAAGCGCCTGAGCCTCTCCTGCTCCTGTGAATGAGCAGCACCTTCAGTTGCGAATCAGCAAATGTTATATAAACGATTTACCATTTCCAAGGTGAGATAACATCAGACGTGAGGCAGATAAAGGGCTTTAGTGAAACCCAACACCTGGTTTGGGGAGTAACCGGGGCTTCTCTTCAGGCCTTTCCAAGGCCTCAGGCCCCTTTTTATCTCTTCCTTCCCCAAATTACTGAGGGCCATTCACACCTCTCCTTCCCACCCACACCTCTTCTTTCTCTTCCCAGGCTGGTTCCTGCAGGCTTTTCCTGAAAGGCCTCTCTGGGTGTGATCTTGTCTCTCAAATCACCGTGTTTTTCCAAATTCCATTCTCCTGTTTTGTAACTTAAAAACTGACGCTATCGTGCAGGAAAGCAAATGTGTTGGTGGAAAAAAGCACCATTCCCTTATGCACAGGGGCCATTCCATCTTAACAATCGTCCTCCAAATGAGACGTCAGGAGCTCACCAGTCCACAGTGGGCAAAGCGCTGGTCCCTCTCTCCGGAGTCCCCAGGTGTTTTCATCCTTGTGTCACTGGCTTCAGCTCCATCACCCTTGAGGTCCAGGGTGTTGCTCTCTGACAGAGTTTGACCCCAACACCAAATGCAAAGCCTTGTCCAACATTCACCTCGCTCCAAAGCCGATGAGGATATCGAATGCATTAGTATACCACATACACTTAGAAATCTAACACCTGTTTCAGTATATAAGGGACTTCTCCCAGCTTTCCTGGCTCCCTCTGCTGTACACCAGTTCTTCTACAGCGATTCGAAATGGTTTCTATAGAAACTGCTGCACACAGACAGGGAGGTGGAGGCAGGCACTCTGGAAAGAGGTGTCCTGCCCCATTCCTGGCCCTTTCCCAGCACATTCCGGCTCCTGCTTCCGGTCTAGGGGTCTAAGCACATGGGCTCCTCAGGGTATAATCAGTGTGAACTTTAGGGAGTTTCTCCTTCTCCCCTCGTCCTTCTCCTTCCTTCTTTTTCTTCTTCTCTTCCTCCTCCTCCTCTCTCTCCCTCTCATTCACTATTTCTAACCCTGGCTTAACTCCCTCCATGGAGACCTCCTCATGAAAGTCCCTCCTTTAACACGTAAGTTATATGAGACACAGGTATTAACCTCTCTTGTGTAAAGGTAAACTGAGGCATGGCTAGGCTCCCTCAAGCTAGACTCTGTGCTTGCCCGTGCAGCCCAATGCCCCGGCATGAGCCAGCCAGAGCCCTGTGAGCCCCTCTGTCACAAACACCTCCACCCTCCGTGGGGACAGGTTTCGTGCTCAGTCTGGTTTTGCTTGGAGAGAGAGCCTGACTGTTTGCTCCTTGGGAGTAACTGGGAGAAGTTTTTCCCATGAGCGTCTTGCCTGCACTCCATCATGGGTATTATTCTGGATCTGGTTCAGAAAGAAAACCTGCCTGTCCTGGTGTGTGCTGCATATGGGCAGAGGCTGGATGGGTGGAAAGCACTGGTGGAGACAGCCAGGCTCTCGAGGAAGGGAGAGGACAGGAGGCTGCACGGGCCCCCGCAGCAGACCCCCGAGGTCCACTAAAAGGCAGCTCCCTCGGCTGGCCAGGTGGCCGTGGGCCCCTGACCCTTGCCTCTGCCCAGGGCGCCTCCCTCCTGCAGGGTCGCCAGACACTCACCTGCTACCAGGTGCATTTGCCATTCTGGGTGCCCCTCCCATTGGCCATGGCTCCCAGGGAGAGACTGTGGCTGTTGCCTGAGAAGGCAGGGCCCGCCCTGTATCCCTGCATGGCCCACTGTGGGGCACAGATCTTGCTGGGACCCCCTAAGCCAGGCAGCCAGCTGTGGGAAGGTGGAGAGCGATGGCCACGCACTCGAGCGCACCCCACCAGGGACACAGGGCCCAGTGAAGAGAAGTGATCACGCAGGGACAGTTCCCACTGATGCATCAGAGCCTGGACTTTGTGCAGCTTTGAAAGAAAAAAGTTAGAAAGGAAAAAAGGAGGGCTGGGATCTACTAGTGAGAGAGCACAGGGCCCTGGGTTCAATCCTCAGCAGCCCAGAAAGAAAGAGGAGAGAGAAGGAGAGGAAAAGGCGCCGGTGTGAGTGAACAATAATAACCCCATTCCACTCTCCAGACTCAGCACTTCAGCAAGCAGAGGCCCACCGGGCCCTGGGCACAGCCTTGGGGAGGACTATGAGGCAGGAGGGTTCGAGGGGACTCCCCACAGGATCCCCTGCAGAGTCTTCGCCTCCCACAGTTGTTCACAAGCCCTTCAAATATGAGAGCGTCAGGGACCGCCTTCCTGCGTTTTTTAAGAGAAACAAGTATCGATAAAGTTGTATCACGGGTTTTCTTCAAGAATTTGAACCTCTTTTTTTTAATTCAATGTATGTTTAACTGATACAAAGAGATATGAGAGCTGTGTGTATTAACAGGGACCGCGGGATGTTTTGAGACCCATCTGAGCTCTTTTCGGACCCCTCCTCGGTCCTCTCCTTCCCTTCCCATCACATGTGCCTAACTTTGAATTTTTAAAATAATCTGAAGTGGCGAGAAATGGTGCCAAGAGGGGAGGCGAGCTGAATCCATTAGGGCATATGTTAGACTGAGCGGCTCAAAATTCCATAAGCGTTTCCTAAGAGGAAGAATAAATTATGCACCCACCGATGTAGACACTTCCAATATTTGTTTGTCTGGTGGATAAAACCGAAAGTTATGCTAATATTGCAAAAGCAGATCTGGCCATATCAGAGAAATCTGTTTGTAAAGAGCGATGGCCAAGAACTCTCGACTCCAGCCCTTGACCCACATTTCATATTACTCCGGCCTGCATTGGGCCACTCGGGATTCTACACACCAACTTGGAAAATGTCCAGCAGGGATGGAAAAGACGGCACAATTCTCCTTTTATGAGGTTCACACAGATTGTCCATTTCCTGGGACTCCACAGAGCTATGTAGATACCATCAAGGACGCTGATGTGCAAACCGGAGAGGGGATAACAGTGGGAAAAGCGAGCTCGTTTTCTGCCATTGAATGCATGGCAGGGCAGATTCAAACTTGCCAAACTTGAGAGAAATATGGGAATCCATTTTCCAGCTTTAAGGTAAAGGACACACCACAGTGCATTTACTTCTCCTGTTAACCAACTAACGTACTGATGTATTTGTGCAGTCCTGGGGCTCAAACCGAGGGCCTCCTCCTCCATGCTAGGCCAGCGGTCTGTCGCCAGCCCGGTCCTCAGGCTGAAATCATCCAAAGACAACTGGAAACTGCAAGGATCAGGAAGCTGGGGCCCACGTGAGCCTCAGCCCATTCCAGAAAAAACAGTTGGCAGAGACAGCAGTGATGTTTACTAGAAAACCAACCTGCTTCCAACAGACACGGCTGCGTGCTGCTGATAAACAGAGTGGCCCTGTGAGCCCTGGCGTCAGAGGGCAGAGCCTGGCCGCACCGCCCTCCCTGCCAGAGCGCCTTCTCAGCTGCCCGCCCGCCTGCCCGCCAGGCCGCCTCTGGACCGGTTCCGCACTAACATAAATAGGCCTAACAAAAAATCTTTGCTAGTGCATGCTCATAAAGGCAAACAATGAAAACTACTGTGGCGTGTTTCTTCAGACGGCACTGGTCCTGTGCGGAAGTGCCACACACAGAAGCAAAACAGCTCCCCGCCGCCCTGCGCCAACTCCCAGAAGCCAGCGACTCCTAGCAGCCTGCTCTGGGGTGAGCAGGAGCTGCATAGAAACAAGTGACGCTTGTGACGGGCGCCCACTCACGATCGGGAGCGTGTGTGGGCCATCCGGGCACCGCAGGAGAGTGGAGCTCAGGGTTATCCATGGGGCCTTGGTGGCAGCACCTGCAGTGGGAGCCTCCGCCTTCCGGGAGGAGGAGAGGCGCGGTGCAGCCTAGGAGAGGTGAGAAAATGATCGATGGTCGGGTACAGGGCAGCAAAAATGGCCGCGAGGCTCATTTCCTCTCTGCTCCTGCTCAGGAAGGACGTCAGCGAGGCAGACTAAACACAGGCCCTGCTGGGGATTCTGTGTGCGGCCCGGCCCGTGGGAACCAGGCCCTTCCTCCCTCAGCGGGGACACAGGCAGGCCAGACGCCCGGCCGGCCGCTCTTGAGGAGAAGCAGAACAGCCCCCCACTGTCGCCAAGGCTTGGGGGTCTGGGGCGCCCCCAAGGCGTCTGTGCCGGGCCCCAGGACAGGGGACCCCACCCCAGGGCCAGTCCCTGGGAAAGCAGAGCCCCTAGCTGCTCTTGCCCCAGGCTTGCCCAAGGCCTCCTTGAGCATCAGCCTCTAGGCCCTGGTGGGAGTCGAGGCCCAGCTTCCCGGGGAAAGGGTGGGGAAGGGTAGCCTGGGTTTTCCCAGTCACTATAGCAACCCTCTTCATCTGGGCCAACTCACCTCTATGAGCCTCAGTTTCCCTCCCTGTGACTCCAAGGGCCTGCCTTTGATGCCGGCCAGACGGTCCCGGCTGCGGGTCCTGGAGGGTGGGCACGCTTTGAAGCCCTCCTTCATCAGCCTCCTCCTTTGCCCAAACTCTGTGAGGACAAAGGAGAGGAACCCCTGACCCCTACTGGGGCCCTAAGCTCCTCGA